CACTACCATTGCGCCCGTCACCCTGAGACATAAGTTGACAAGTCCCATGTGCCTATAATTTCACCAGTACCCTTGCCCTTCAAAACCGGAACACGGTAAAGCTGACATTACAGCCTACTAAGGATGCTGGTGAAATTATAGGCACGTGGGACTTGTCAACTTATGTCTCAGGGTGACGGGCGCAATGGTAGTGCCCCTCAGAACTTTGCGATGCTCTGAGTGGCACTGCAACTAATACGGACAGGCGTGTAGCGAAAAAAGTTCGGGCTGACGGTTTTGTAAGAACATCAGGCGACATTTCTGTCCTAGGTGTCAAAACAATATTAATAACTTTATCTCTTAATAGCTCTCGTATAATGGTGATACTTCGTATGGCTATATGTATTTGCGTATTTCATACCTTTGGCAAACATTCGCCATGTGTAGAGAACACGCGTGACAAAGTATTTACCTTGTTTGTCTATTGTTACTACTCTTACTACTCAAAGCACATTAAAGGAGCCAAATACGCTCCCTCCACTCTATGGTCATGTTCAATATTTCAACTCGTTATTTGGCTCCATATGTTGACGGTCATATTTGTTACTGTGTGCATGATTGTCTGTATGTCAAATATTTTTCTAACAAATACCCAAATGCCAATACAAATAGCCATGTGAAATGCCACCACAAAGTGATATCTCGTACAGATTTGTTTGGTTCTATTGTGCCAGATCTAAAGCTAAATATTGTGCACTTTGGCTGTCGTTGTAAATATCCACACCTCTAACGACTTGTTGGAATAAGGAGAAAGCTGCAGTAATGTGCGTGTCGTCATATGTTTTATTTTCAAGGAAGTCACTGTAACATGACATACAATTTAAAATCTTATAAAAGGAATACTTACAGTTCAAAATGATAGAATAGAAAACATTGATTTGCTAGAATAGTACCACAATATTAAAAGTTACATTGAAAGTAAAAATTAAATCACTAAATGTTTTCTCAAAGTGTTTTCATTTCTTTTAAACATGGAACATTATAAGACACTTAGAAGGAATAATTATATTTAAGTAAAAGAAGTAAAAAAACTACTTATTTAATGGCTAACAATTACTTACGTGAAAGGTATGAGAGGTGCATTTTCCCGATTGTACTCATAGGACATGACACTATTTTTCGACTAAATCTCGTATATTTGTTGACTTGTCAAACACATTCAACTGTGGCCACGGAACCCCCCTGTACTTATTCGGTCTGTACGAATTCCACACTTGTTAAGTTTACCAGTGACAAAATTTCTCAAAGGTCACTATTACGCAATTATGTGTTCATCATATAATAGCATGTTTCCACCACGACATTTTTTGTAGTATTATGTTCTTTAAACAACACTTATTAATTATTAATACTAAAATCGAATACTTAGAAAAATGTCCTTCGATCCTTCCGATTCGAACCGACGCTTTCTAATAAACCGTGCCTTCTTCCTAATAAAGCGAACTAGCGGATATCACAAAATTTTCTATGTGCTTGTTGTCGGTTCTTTGTATTTGGTTTTCAACGACTTTTTAGTCGTAGCGCCATCTATGAGAAAACTGTGAAAGTATTTCGTCACCCAGTTAGGTAACTTTACAGCTACCAGTCCTGGCTAAAGATGTCGCTATTAATAGTAATTAAATTTTTATTGAATGTTTCACCACCAAGACATTCAATTATTTTTTGTGAAATTACTCCACTAGTGTGTTATAATTGTTAATACAAAGTGTGTGAGTGGATTATATATATCTATCTATCTGTCTAATCAAAAATTTGTAACCTAAAAAAATGCAATGCAATAAATGAAATAAATAAACCCCACCCTGTATCGGGACTGGTTCAAAAGTTTCCAATTAAATATAATAATAAAATACAATAATGAAAAATGTATTTAGGTACTTTTAAATCACACTTTAACCATTTTATGTCTTCTCATGTAGTTCCACAGCTGGGCACAGGCCTCCTCACACAATGAGAAGGCTTGGGCCACAGTTTCCACGCGGGCCCAACGGATTGGGACCTTCACACACATCATTCATTTCCTTTGCAGATGTGTGGAAATGGTAAATTTAAAATTAAATTTTTGCACATAAATTCCGACAAACTCAGCGATAAAAATGACATTGTATCGTATCAAACCAAAACTTTTTGCACTTCAAGGTTTAATAAAGTGTTTTGTACTTTCATAACAACAAAAATCATTCGGCTGTTAACGGGTACAAAAAAATGTGTTCATTTTTCGATAGAAATAACAATTATTTTTTTTTATAACGCACACACTCGACATAGCCCCGCACTAGGGAACCCCTGTGTCGCGGGTGCCATGGACACACACATAGACAACCACAAATTACACCCAAACTCTCGAGAGAAATAAATGTACTCGTAGGCCATACAAATATTTCTCCCGGCCCGGGAATCGAACCTGGGACCTCTGCTTGGCAGTCCGGCATGGTAACCGTTCGGTCACGGAGGCAGTTAAACAATAACTAGATAGGTTTCTTTAATATCTATGTACGACATTTTCTTTTTATATTCATTTTTTATTAACCACAAAAATCACATAAAAAACTGAAAAGTCCTTTACGGAGCATTTTCTCGAATTTCTCAAAATGCTGTTTTTGATATCACAGTATTTTGAT